GCACCCTGACACGTATACTATTACTTTTTTTTAAATAAACGCGCTAATTACCTTAGATTAGGTAGGAGAGAAACCAGATATAGAGAAGGTAGGGTTTATTTCTAGGGGCCTTAACTAGCGTTAGCTAATTCGTGGTGACGGTTAGGGAGGTTATAAGAGTGATCGCTCGTTCGCCTATACCTAGAGATTAAAAAGTATCCTATATATCGGCAGCGTCTTGTATCTGCCGCAGCCGAAGCTGACCAAATCGTTATTCGAGAGAGCAACCGCAACCGGCTTGGTCACTGTGGATTTTGAAGAAACTCATCAGAACTGAGCAAAGTGTGTTAGACGTCAGGGTAAAGACTAGGAGAGGGGATACTGAAACATCATTGCAAGCAGACTACTAGTCAGGGGGTATGGGACATTCAACAGACCCGATTGATTATGAAGTCCTATGCGATATCCTTGAGATGAGTGTACTTGAAGGGAAGTCATCCAACCTGTTAGAAATATATGCAAGCGAGAGAGCAAATGCATTTCGAAAGTTCATTGACCCTCAAAGTACGCAGAATAAACTTCGAGTCCAAAGTGACCCAGCATTCGCCCGCGAGATTTGATTGCTCCAGCAGCTGAACAACGCGTCTCCCAAGTTTCCGGAAGAATTTGGATTGCTATTTTTCCAACAGTGGAGGGTGGATATAAAGGAGGCAATCGTACAGAGACTGTAGTGTTCTTTATTGTTCTCAAGTTTGGCCATAATCACACATTGCAACGCTTGTCCTCATGCTGAAAGTTGATTGCCGCTGCGATCATTCCGGTCGATGCCTTGTTGACCTGGAACCCTTATTAGCAGCCATAACTAACTAGGTCGATAGGCAGTAAAAAGTGTTCACAAAATGAGAAAAAGATCCAGTCAAAACTATATTAGAAATATATGGACCAGCTGCGCATCTGGAACAACGAGACACCGATGCACAAGGGTCGTATTAAAGTACAACATGCGGGACGGTATCACTTGTCCAAGTTCTTGCTCTTGACCATCCTCCCAAGCAACTCCTTGCAGTTCTTCTCGCTATATTGCTCCCAAACCTCGTACAACGAGACCAGCTCTTGTGTACATTCGATGACAGCTTTGATATCGACTTCACTTTCCGCTAGCCAGCTGACAAGCTTTTGAATTTTAGGAGGCGGACCAGATCCAGTTTTATCCGATAAAGCGGTCAACATCTGCATGCCGCCTCCATCTCTCATAGAGCCTGCCAAAGCCGATTGGCTGGTTCCAGGGTAGGCGGATGGATGGGTAGGTTTGAACACAAGAGCAACGATGATTGCCATGATTGCAATAACGTGAGGCGGGTGTAGAAGTGGCAGATCTGTCAGATAATGATCGTTGATAACCGACCAGGCTAGAGCGACCTCATCCGAGGTGAGTGATAGTTCGGGTTGGAGTTCGGCCAAAGTCCGATAAGGATGATGGACGATAAGTTGCGAGCTCAGTTCGGATATTAAGGAAAATTCGCATTCTCCGAGCTTTGCCACATCCGGGGTAATAAATTCTGTGAATAGTTGGTATTTGGTTGCTTTGTAGCTTCAATACACAGATGCACATACCTGGCCACAGACCGCGTGCTTCGCCGACCACAAAGCGGATATGCTGTGGACACTCTTCCATCTTGCAAGCGAGATAAAAGGCTGTGGCGAGTACAAGGTATGGACTTGTCTGTCGAATCTCATTCTTGGTATAGAATCTCTTGAGATACACCTGCGCTGTTGCAATGGCCTGCTGTCTGGTGGACATACGTTTGCCAAGCTTGATGAGCTCTTAAAATTTGAATTAGCCTGAAGTTATTCTCGAAACAAGCGGTATATTGAGAAAAAACCTACGCTGGTTAAAGTAGATATTCAGTAGTCGTTGATCCGGCAGAGGGAACTGCGCATGGGCAACTTTATCCTTCTCCCGCAATCCCTCACGGATATCTGCTAGCTTCTCTCTGGAGAATAGCCAGTGTCGACGCTGGGTTGATGCCCAGTAGTTGGCTGCCATCTTGAAAGTACGATGATGCAAAGCTCACAAATCAAAAGCTGTCATGACATGGTCCGAAGTCCGGCGGGGGCTATATAGCTGACTCCGCAGATCACGTATTAAAATGAAATGCGATGTAGACCTAACACAACAGGAATAAAACCAAAAAATGTAACAACTTAATAAATTATAAACGAATCAACTCATCTAATGTGAAGTCAGGTTGTAATTCCAAAAAGGGATAGTAGGGCTTGGCCCTGGTCCCGTGCAAGATAATCCGATGGCGTCAAAGCCCTTGGAAGGTCAAATCGCCGGGCGCCGGTTGATCACCTGGCTTGTCCAGACCTCGGGAGCTTTCAGATTCATAACTTTCACCTCACGTCATCCTTTTATGTTCCCCTCGATCTTTTTCCCCTCAACTTCCAGGGGTCTCGGGTCTTCTAAATACCCCTTATAACGAGCATCAAAGATAATGGTTGCTCGGTAACAACTTTCACTATGGCATCCGGAGAGTCAAAAGATGAGCGCGACGAAAGAGTCGCCAAACTCTGGGAAACCCTGGACACCCGAAAAGAGGGCCATATCGACCTAACTGGATTAAAGAAGGGTTTAAAGAAAATCGACCATCGTGGGTTTGACCTGGTTCGTTGCTACATATTGGCGCCCTTGTCTAATCTCTTCTTAGCTCTAAAAAATGCAGACGATATGGTACTCAGTGTCGTGCGGGAAGTTGACACGAATGGCGATGGACGTATTGACCAAGCGGGTAAGCTCACGAGAACTGCCTAGGCGCATGCTCGGAGAAGGGGTGCCCTGGCCAATCTTTTGTCCAATTCTAATCGCCACCAGAATTTCGAGCATTTCTCAACCACACCGAGGACGGGTTATGGAAAATGTTCCAGAGCATCGATCGAGATCACAACGGAGAAATTGACAAGATGGAATTGCGGAATGCCTTTTCACGTTCCGGAGTAACAGTCTCGAGCGCCAAGTTGGACCGATTTTTCGCCGAGGTCGACAAGAACAATGACGGGGTGATCTCTTACACAGAGTGGAGGTACATGCATTCTCACCGGTCAAGTTCAGTCTGAACAGCTGAGGCTGACATATACTCTCTTTTGTTCTCTTTAGGGACTTCCTTCTTTTCCTCCCTCTCCACTCCCCATCCGACCTACACGCAGTCCTTTCATACTACACGGCCACGGGCAATCTAAACCCGGAAGGAGATGTCAATATCAATGACCTGCAGGGTTTAGGTACAGACCATCCGTTTCCTTCACCTTACATTCTAGCAATCCAACATTTTTTGTACAACATTTTGTCCCTCCCCGCTTTGGCCCCCCTCCTTCCCTCGGCGCACGCGCAAACCAGCCATATCTCAAAGCTAGGACCCGTTTTCGAGCATGGGTTTGTCTCGCTTGACGCCGATTTGGAGTTGGAGTGGTTGGCTCTTCCCCAGACTACCGCCATGCGGATGTTTTTCCGATATTATGGACGGAAGTTGACCGAAAATACCCCTCAACTAGGCTACTTCCTTGCGGGTGGAACTGCGGGTGCCGTGTCAAGAACGGCCACCGCCCCCCTCGATCGTCTCAAAGTTTATCTCATTGCACAGACTGGCGTCAAATCAAGGGTCCAGGCGGCGAAGGAAGGAGCCCCGCTGGCTGCGGCGGGGAACGCTTCCAAAACGCTGTTCGACGCGCTCAAGGAATTATGGCGGGCTGGAGGAATACGGAGTTTGTTCGCAGGTTCGTATTGCCGACCAGGAAACAAAGCCACAACGACTAACTATAATTAGGAAATGGCTTGAACGTGGTGAAGGTTATGCCTGAATCTGCGATTAAATTTGGCGCCTATGAGGTTTGTACTCGACATCTGATTTCATCTACACAACTGGACGAACGCTGACTCGGGAGCAGTCTGCGAAACGGGCATTTGCACAACTCGAAGGGCATAACGATCCCAAGCGACTCCTTCCCACTTCACAATTCATGTCGGGTGGATTTGGTGGAATGGTTGCCCAGTAGGTCTTGCGTATCATTGCACATCATTGATGAAAGGAAACTTGGTTCTGATTCGGACTAGATGTTTTGTTTACCCCCTCGATACCCTAAAATTGTGAGTACATCGATCTGAATGAAGTTTTAGAGCATCGTGGCTTACACTTCTCACTAGTCGCATGCAGTGTGAAACTGTGAAAGATGGCCCGAAAGGTAATCAACTCATCGCAGCTACCGCGAGAAAGGTTTGGAACAAGAATGGCTTGGTTGGCTTCTTCCGAGGGCTCCCGCTTGGACTTGTAGGAATGTTCCCCTACGCCGCAATCGACCTATCGACATTTGAATACCTCAAACGGACACTTCTAGCCAAAAAGGCTCGTGACTGTGGTTGTCATGAGGATGACGTACCCCTCGGCAACTTCGCGACAGGCGCAATTGGCGCTATGAGTGGAGGATTTAGTGCTTCGATTGTCTACCCTCTCAATGTTCTCCGCACTCGACTTCAAACTCAGGGCACGATCATGCATCCGCCCACATACACAGGGATCGGCGAGGTCCTAAGGATTACACTCAAAACCGAGGGACCCCGTGGTCTTTACAAAGGTCTCACACCTAACCTTCTCAAAGTCGCACCGGCCATGTCAATCAGCTACGTAGTCTACGAGAACGCGAAACGGATCCTTAGCCTACGATGATCTGCCAGTCCAAAGAAGTCCTCACTTCCACTTTCTCCTTGCATACCCCCGCGGACACTACACAGCTATTTGCGTGCATTTTCGACCTTCGCCCTGGCACATTCACTCTGGTGCCTTGGATCGATCTTTCCTATTTGCTGGCTTCACATTTAGAGGCGTTGTCCCCAAGATACCCACAAAAGCCATTGACAGGCATGGCACACCCCCTCGCTCATGGATGCATCTCAAATGCACCCCATCATCATTTTTAATATCTTTGCCACGTCATGAGAGATCACAACATTGGCTTCTTTTTTGCATTCACCTTGGTTGATTTCTACCAGGCTTCACTGTAATTTTTTTTTGCTTTCTACTGCTTATGTTGCGCTCACTTGAGACAACTATACTTTTGACCCACCTTTGATACAGGGCACTGGGAAACCCACCCTCAACCACATCAGCATGGCAAGGCGTCGATACAATACCACGGGACTTTTTGATTTCCATTTTGCTTATTACCACAAGATGATCTTCACGATTGGATATTACAAACTGGAAAATTTCTTGAATGATATTCTGATTGCTCTTAAATTGCCCAGTTCGCAAATTGCAAACAGGCATACATGGTGATTACCCTTTCAGGGACCAAACCCTTTTTTAGCCTCCTGCACAGCCCTAACCTCCTCATCCCGAGGAAGGATATCCGGCACGGGTCCCAGAGGAGTGATACCAAACTGATTAATCTGCTTGTGACTTTTAGTGTAATGGAGCTTGATATGCTCAAAGTCCGTGGTATCCCGGAAAGCAGGAACATCCCAATACAGCCTGCGCACCCATCGGTGGATAGCCGGGAAACCAGAGCGGATATCACGCAGATTACACTTAAAATGCTGCACGTAGACGGGGTCAAACCGAACGATGGTGGTGTAGAGTCTGATATCAGCCTCGGTAATCTCATCGCCGAAGAAATATTGCTTCGAGGCTGCTTCCTGCTTGGCAAGGTGAGTTTCGACCTTGTCAAGCGAGGAGAAAAGCGTTGTTACGGCTTTCTCGTAGGCTTCTTGCGTGGTTGCGAAACCGGATTTGTATACGCCATTATTAATGTCGTTGTAGATCCATTCATTGGAGGCATCGATCTCGGCTTGTAGAGCCTTGGGGAAGAGGTCGATGTTCTTGTATTGCTCGGGAAGGATATCGTCGAATTCATGGTAAAGCATACGAATGATTTCGGAGCTCTGGATTTGTAAGGATTTGGAATTGAAGGTGGCTTCGTTTGGAAAACTTGTTTCGTACCTCGTTGCTTACGATCAGCTTGGTCTTCTTGTCGAAGAGAACTGGGACGGTGAACCGGCCCGTGTAATCTGGGTCGTTGGAGAAGTAGATCTGTCGGATATGGGTGAATTCCGGGTGTAGAGGATCCGGAATGGTGTTTTCCCCGGGCAGTTTCTCATCGGGGGTAGCAAATCGCCAACCTAGAAGAGTCAGAACTATACGATAATATCACGAATTGTTGGAAAGCTCTGACCTTCCGCTCCAAGATGCCAATGCACCGAAGAGAAAGAGATGAAGTCCTCCAGACCCTTGAGCTTTCGGGTAATTAAAGTCCGGTGAGCTAGTCGATAATTAGTTGCTGACCGAGTGAAAAGTCAACTGGAAGCTTCCTCATACCCCAAGGACAGGCATAAGATACATAAAGATGGTATCGGCCCTTCTCCGGAGGGAATTGGGCGCCGGCCTCTCTAGAGATCCAGTTGCGGAAGACAGATTGCTGACGTTTGAATTCGCCCGACTTGTCGCCTGGCTTCACCCAATCGGTGATTTTCATGGAATTTCCGGTCTTGAATTAGAAGTCAGCGTAGTCACTGGAGCCATTGTAGGTGACTTCTTCTATTTCTTACGGCCATATTGGAGTTGATGATTAGTGATGTGGGGAACACAAAGCTCCGATAAGCTGCACGAAGAGGCCCGGGAAGAATTGGACGTGAAAGATGCCGTAATAATTGAGATCTCAACGGAGCAAAGAACATAAGCGGCAGATATAGTGAAATAGATACTCTTATATAGAGGCACGAATTTAAAATGTCGTCTTTGCGGGGTTGTGACAATTCATGACCAAGTGCTGAGTCATATTTACCTATCGGAAGCTCAGCTTTGACAAAGCAATCTGGACCCTGTAGACCTCGGGAAGGCCCTGACAAAGCCTATGATTTGATGTTAATTGGTACTAGTCTACGTGTATATCCGTGAGGAGGCTATGGAGAGTGGAATAAATCATGAAATCTAACTGTACTAGCAAATATGTAGCCGATTGGCTTTCCGTGAATTGTGATAGCCTTAATGTGTGAGCTTGACCATCACGTAAGGAATCTCGACATCCTCCTCTGTCTGATCCTCGGCGGTCACCTCAAAGATGATGTTTTTCTGGTGTTCAGGGACTGGCTTCTTGCTGACGTGCTCCACAAGCTTGCTCATACTGCAAGGTATAATATTAGTACTTGAGTTGCCACATGGGGTTACAGAAGAAGACACTCACGGAAGAGGAAGGCGATCCTTGACCTTCGATGGGGGATAGAAGCTGGCATACAACAGGCTGACTCCAGAGCTGACCATCGTGATTTCCAACCCCTTTTCGGCGAAAAAGTCCAGGAAGTCCTGGAGGGGAAGGTCTTCCACCTCAAATCGGTCCCAAAGCTTGTCAATTGTGACCTCGCCTTGCTTGCCTTGATATTTGCCCTTTTCGCTACCGATCGGCTCACTGAAGCTAAATAGCGGAAGGGCCAAATTAACGAAGCCGTTTTTGTATTGCTCGATGTCGTCCTTGCCGTCAACAATTTTGTACATTTCGAGGGCAACAAGACCGGTGGCCAGGGCAGTAGTGGTGGCAATTGCCGGGATGATCTTTCCAGCGATAAATTTGGTCTTGTGTCGGTCAGCCTGAGGAATCTCGTAGTTATCTGCACGGAGGTTGCTAGCCGCAGTGATGAAGTCGATGTGGTGGTTGGTGTCATCGTCCTTCTCAAACTCAACTGGCTGCAAGCGGAATCCAGCAAGAGACTTGGGCGAGGGAAGAGACGCCACCAGTTTCTGGATTTCTTCCTCGTCAGTAGACGAACCAGCTGGCTGCGCATTCGGATCAGGATCGTTTTCATTGGCCTGAATCTTGACATTCGAGCTCGGCGTGAACTCGGGAACAATCATGTCATCAACTACCCTACGGTAGTAGTCCTTGTCCGCACCGGGGTTCTTGATACCGTAGTTGAACGCATGGAGGTTAGCACCAGCAACAACAAATCCGAGATGAGTGGGATTAGTGCTATCGAACTTTAAGGGTGTAGGGGCACGCTTAGGCCCAGACCAGAATAATTGACCGGTTGAAGTTTTGGAGTCTCGGGGGAAGTTGTAGAGAAGCTGCTGGATCGCGTTGTTGTACTGTGCTTCAAATTGTTGGCGAGCCCACACAATACAATCATCGAAAGTCAGAGGTTTTTCAGTGACCAAGAAGTCACGCAGGTGCTCCAAGGTTTGCTTTTCGTTACCCGCCTGCTTAAGGGTCTGCTGAATGTAATCGGATTGCGAGAGATACATGTTGACTGATTCGGGTGGGCCAACGAAGTAGGTTTGGAAGACATCCCGTGCCCATGCAATGGTGTGCTCAATTCGGTTCGGGAAACTCTTCAGGGTACACATAGGGAATGACTTTTCTGGGGGATCCTGGGAGCTGGAGTAGGACTCCGTGATAAAAGGAAGCACGACCTGGGTGTTGCACTTGGTGCCCAGGGTACCACTCTCTAGCAATGGCTTGCGGAAGAAGACACAGCGGCGATCAACATATGTCCGTGCATCCAAATTGTCCAGAGCGTTTGTCACACCATCCAGGCCGTTCCAGAAATCCTCATTGAAGACGTGTTCAGTGTCGGCACCAACGCGATCACGAAGAGTGACAATCTTATCTTTCAATTCTCGGTTCATTGCTTGAGCGGCTGCAGATGCGCATTCACTCTTGAGTCTACCGACGTCTTTGGGACGGAAGAGGAACTGGCGGTTGAGGTTGCTCTTCTCAATCTGGTCCATATCGGTGACGTAAAGCTTTCCTTTAGGACCCGTCCCCAGACCCATCATGGCCCAATTCTTCAGCGTCTCGCAACCGATAGCACCGGAACCGACCAAAAATTGGGTGACATTAGCAAGTTTTTCTTGGTATTCCTTGCCAAATACCGCAATTTGACCATCGTAGCGGATACCAAGAGGTTTACAGCTTTCTTCGGATCGAGTGACCGATGTAGGCAAGGACTCCAAAGAGTCAAAGTACAACCACTGATGCACAGGACTGAACTTGCCGGAGACAGCCTTGAGAACTTCCTGGGCGGCGATGCCACCGAAGAAAGCTGCTAACGGATTCAGATCACCGCGGGCCTGGTAGCTCAGCTCCTTGATAATCTTTTCATCCAGTTCAATTTTTTCCTCACCGGCCGCAGCAAGATCGTTAGCGATCTTTAGGACCTCCTGGGCATCGCTATCACTGTGGGGACGAGGCAACTGGCCATCATGAGTCTCCGCAAACTTATGAAGAGCCTGGATACCAATGTGTAGTTGTTGTGGTCTGTCAAACTTGGCAGAGTCAGAGATGAGAAGCTCAGGCTTTTTAAGTTGGTCCTCTAGTGGCTGGAAATCAATAAACTTGGGCATCTTGACCTGAGTAAATAGACCACCGCCCTTATAGGATCCTAGACTAGAGACGTCGCCAATAGTGAAAGTGTAGGGACCTTTCACAGTGACTTTGCGAGGATCACTGTTATTTAGGCCATCCATACCCTTGACTTCAGTGAAAGTGACAAAGTCTCCATCCTCAAGTCCATGTCTTGTCTCATCGAGCGCCGAAACCAACCCTTCGTCATTGATATCCGCTACAATCCCACCAGCTGGCTCTTCGCCGTTTGGATCACCCACAGTGAAGTTTTTTCCAAAGTCATTGAAGATATAGCCAAAGAGACCGAAGGTATCCGTTATTGTGAGGTAAATTTTGTTCTGGTGGCAGAAGTCGGCAATCACCAGTTGCTCCTTCAAAGGAGTCTGTGTGAGCACCACTGCCTGGTAGCGCTTTAGTTGTTCGAGATCGCCCACGAGGCTCTTGCTCTCATGGACTGTAACGGGGACATAGGAGTTCAACTCGGCAACCCTTGGGGCGGTAACTTCAGCACGGGGCTTGCCGACGTCCTCTGGCTGAAGGAAAAACTGCGAAGACAGATCCGAGATAGCGACTGGTGCGGGATCGTATAGGGTCAGAGACTTGACGCCAGCGAGGGCGATGTTCTTGGCTAGTAAGACAATCAGACGTTGCGATGAAAGCAAATTTTGATTAATAGTTGAATCACATACCGATTTCCACACCCAGGCCCTTGAGGCCTACAATCAGAACATTGGAAGATCCCATACGCTTCATGGCCTCGTGGCCAAGAACATATCTCTAATGTGTCAGTACATGCTCGGGATTTTAATGTTATAGAGGGATGCCGGGGGGACTTACAGCTGCCGACTATACAATGATTCGTCGATCTCCCCATGCTTGATTGCTTCGATGGTTTCTTGCGGATTCTCAACCTGCATCTTGATGTCCTTCGATGACACAAATTAGTGATAATCTTATCTCTAAAATCAAGAATAACCATACCGTCATGGTTCTTTTCTCTGGCCGAGCTCCGACGTTGTCTTCAGAGGCTCTGCGCTTTCCGGGCTTAGCCGCTTCTCGAACAGAAATGTTTGAATGAATGATGAAAGTCAGGAGTTGAAAGCCTTGCGATAAAGCAAGTCTTTCAACAGTAATGATAAATCAAGTTGTAACGCCCAGCGTACCAGGTTTCTAGCTCAACGAGCACGGAGAAGAGTAGCAATCCGAACGCAGTCGACGGATAATAGAGTATAATAGAAAAGAAAAAAAATTGAACGGTGTGTGAGGTAGGAGGCGCGAATAGGTAAAGGACAAGTCAATACAAAGTAGGAGAGAGATGGAGAGAGGGACACCGACACCGACGTAAGAGGGGGGCCAACAGCTAAGAGATGACTAACGGGCGGTGAGAGGGCGATTGGCATTTAGCCCCACGATACTTCAATACACTACTTGGAGCTGTTGTGCTCGAGCCACAGAGTGTCTTGTTCAGAGTTGGAAGCTGTGATACATCTGGATGAGATTGGGGTCGACTCTGGAGAATGAAAACAGCCCATTTCTTCTCCGATTGGTTCTGACACCTGCTATTCCATGCGCGACGTTTTATGCATCTCGGTATCAACGCGAAGCTTGGTGCCGTCAAACGACCTACTTCATATGTGTCGCTTTGAATTTGTGGGGCGCGGTCTATTATACTGGCAGCGCACTAACTGTTCAGTGGAGGGAAGACGTTTCTCTAGGTGAGTTTTCTGCATTATACGCCTCTGATGAACTCGTGACTGATATCCGATAGGGAACTTTCGTCAGAATGCTCCATGAGATCCTACTCTCCCTCTCCGGCCAGCCATCCCCCCTCTTCAGTATCCAAAAGGGGGAGAACGCTGTCACTCAAGACGACTTTCCCCTTCTTTCACCTCCGGAGAAAGCCCTCCTCGCCTCCGTTGCCCATCTGAGCCGATTACACGCGCAGCTGCGGAAATGTGCCTCCGACATATCCTCCACGAGCCCATCTGTCATATGCCGCTCGGTCTCTACGGCTATTGTTGGAACACATCTAGCTCAATTTCAAGAGAAAATCCTGGAGGTTGAGAGGGCAATCCTTGCTGAGGATAGTGAATATGTCGGAGGGTATGGTATAGTCCCACTGTCGACCATCGTTGGAGAATTTGCACCATGGTCTCGGCGCATGGAGTGGCTTTGGGCTGTTAATCGGTTCATTCAACCCGAAAGGAAAAGCACCGACATGTTGCATGGTTGCAAGGGGGCAGCGCTCATGGATCATCTGCGGACCGAAGCTCAGACAGGATATCTCGATATCAAGGAGATGGCCCTGCAATTGGCTACAGCGGCTGAGACGGCATGGATGAAACAGCTATCGATGTGGTTACTTTATGGGAATCTTCCAATCTACGGGAAGGAAGACTTTTTCATCCAGGAGGATGCTGAAAATGAGAATGACGAGGCACGATTCAGCGTAAACGTCCGATTGCTGCCAAATTTTGTCACGGCACAAACTGCAAGCTCAATACTATTCATTGGAAAATCCCTAAATCATATTCGGACGAAACGGAAAATTTCAATAGCAGGAACCTCTACTGCGCCGGTGACGTTATTTCGGGAGCACATCGAGCAACTTGCGGGCCTGAAATCACCAATCTCGCCTTCAAAATTGACTACCGCCGTTGACTTCATTCGCCTGTCCCTCTCTCAATCAACCTTGTCGAAATTGCTGCCCCTCCCGAAAATCCTGGAAATTCTCACTTTACTTCACAATTTCCTTTTACTAGGACGAGGGGAATTTGCGGTGGCTCTTGTAGCACATGCAGATTCCCGCATCGAAGAAAGTCGACGCCGACGCCTATCAACGACTCGACCACAGGGAAAACTTGGCGTTCTTACCGTCAAAGAAGGTGATGTTACAGCATCTCTAGCTGAAGCATGGGCAGAGCTCTCCTCACTACAAAAGGAGGAGGACCCAGCCGACGAAGAACTTGAACTTGCCCGGGACCTTCTTTGTCTGTCCATCAGTGGCCGCAAAAGTGGCCGACCGATGACCCCTGCTCAAACTCCCAATCTGATATCCCAAATCTCCAAGGTCTCATTTGAAGACCTGCTCTTCCCCACGGCCACAAACCTCACCGCGTATATCCGAGCTCCATTAGACCTCTTCATTTCGAGCTCTGATATTGTCATATATTCTAAGATCCATTCTTATCTCCTGGGAATACGGCGGGCTCAGATCAGGCTTGGAGATCTCTGGAAACAAACTCCGTTGCGGCGAAATCACCCTACACCATGGGGACCCCCCAGAAGCAGCAGTGTCTTTGGCCAAGCTAGGCTAAAGGCTAGAAGAGATAGAGACAATGTTCGTGTTCGCCAAATGCGTCATATCTGGGCCACTGGAAGTGCTTGTTTGTTTATGCTTTCCGAGATTGGTGGCTTTTTCCAAGGGGATGTCGTCAATGAGTCGTGGCAGCACCTTCGCCAATGGATTGAAGGATGCTCTTCGTCCCCAGCATCAGCCCCTGTATCCCGACCTGGAACTGCATCCTCTGCTAAATCGCGTCATATTTCCAACACAGTATCTCACGATCGCATGTCCATCAGAGATTTCCCAGGGGCAGCCCAGCAGACCATGGGACGACACGATCCCGAAGCTCTCACGGTTGCCCATCGGCGGCACTTGTCATCTCTGGTGCAATCTCTCTTTTTGACTGAACTGCCCTTCACAAACACCATGAGAGGCCTTCTCACAAATGTTGACCGCTTCGTCGCCCTTGTGATTCGGCTGGAAACCATCCAACGCAACATCGATCTGGAAACAGACGAAGGCGTGGAAGACGCCTTGGTAGATTATGCCCATGAAGAACGCGAGGTATGGGAAGAACTACGTGCCACTCGAAATGATGTCGAGACGGGCATTAAGAATCTTATTGGTAGCCTGCGGGACATTGACGACAGTCGCTCGGGAGAAGGCCAGGGATATGTGGAACTAGCAACGAACTTTGGTCAGATGTGGCCTGGCTCCCGTCGAGATGACAGCGTGAGCCCCGGCTTCAGCCATTACGTGCCCCACAAAGTCGCCGGGGTAGATCGTCTGCTCATGAAACTAGATTTCGGCAGCCTTCGCAGCGGATTTGGACCCGAAACAACTGCGGGCTTAGCGGGCAGGCCATCTGCGTGAGTCGGCGGGGGGTTCTGTCATTTTCTCGCACTATTTCTTTATGGCGCTCTTCGCAACTTCTATTTTCTATGAAGTCGAATTCGGCACATCCATTACTGCGAGATAGGGTCATGTGTCTGCCTGGCTCTTCATTTGAGAAATAGCCGCAGGAGTAAGGGATACATACACCGTGTGGCTCGCACATTGCGTTGCTTGCTTTTTTACTATTAGAAATACCACCCACCCCTTAGTTATCTGTACTAAGTACTCTACAAGCAACAGGTGGCCTGAATTTAGTACGCACGCCATCCAGCAGGGCGTTTGAGATCACATTAGATCCTTTAATAGCCCTTGTCTACTCCGTAGTGGCACCTGCCTTCCAGTCTTTTAGTTTCCGGCGATAGAGAAAGCTTGAGAGAAGGGACGCAGTCCAACTCCCTTGCCGATTATCATAATAAGCACAAAAGAAAGACATAAAAGATCTTAGTCAGGGTGAAGAATCTATAGAGCTGTTGAAGTATCCCTTTGGCGAGAGTCGGTGCAAGATGTGAGAAAGGATTACCGGATTAGGAAATCCCGGGCTTGAATGTCTGAGATTTCATTAAGCTCATGGCGGTCTCTCCTATCCTAAAAATAAGACCAAAAATGTCAATTAGAGCTCGGGACTGGTCACCCTGTGGGTTCAAGTGGATTTCATGTGGAACTCGGAGGGTCTAGAGGCCCGGGACGCCGGGAAAGAAGAGAAACGAATTATCGCACTGACTGGTCACTGGCTCGTCACTGCCCACTAATTTTCTGCGGAACTCGGAGCCTTTTGGTTCTCTTTTATGTTGTATGGACTGGTGTCAAGCAAGAAAATCGAAAATGCATAATCCTGCCAATTTGCCGTGTAAAGCCGAGTGTCTCATTGGGCCGGGTGGGCCATTTCATCGAAGCCCCCGACGTTCTCGGTCAATTCATAGGCTCTCCAAGTACCGGTCTAGCTCCTGGGCATAAAACAATTTTATCACCTGGACGCCGTGGAATGAGTGCGGTGAACTCGTTGATGGAATCAGTACTTATTGGCACTTCTTCTTTCACGGCTATTGGTATCCATGCTCCATGCTATCTCCTCCCAAATTTCTCTCACTCTATGTATGCCCTGATGTCTTGATTCACCATGGCTGTTATTCCCCACGCATTGGTTCCCGCTCGTACACGGCTAGCTGGGATTGTCGTCACTGCCCCTCGTGTCCTTTTGTCCTCATCAATCAGCTTGTACTCTAGCTCTACTAGCTCGGCCCTCAAGATTTCCACAGTAGAACTCACAGCCCGGACCATATCCAATCAAAGACGCCGGTGAAGGAACTTTCGCACAACAATCGCCGTTTCGGCGAATTTCCAAAGCGGATTTCTCAACTGGCAGATCATTCGCACCAGAGCCAAGGTTGAGTGAACAGTACGAATATGTTTGGCTAAAAGGTTTGAAGAAAGCGGGCTGGCATTGGCGGTGAATTCTGCACAAAAAAGTGCACTCACCATCAGACAATGTCCCTTGTGCATTAACCACCTATCTTAGTCCGGAATGTTTTTCTAGCTCTACTACACAAGCATGAATTGAACACTATTGACATGGCATTTGTCTTGTTGGCCTCACAACCGGACCAAGAAGTCTCTAGCGATTTCGCGTCCATCTGGGTGTGGTTTGATACCTTCAAAAGTCCTAGTAAAAAGCCCTTGACCTTCTTCGCTCTACAGACATACCTAAGCATGTCCTACTGTATCATCCATTACTCTCGAACGCGATATCGTTCGTGAAATGATACCCACGTTGGCTATTCATAATCTAGAGCCCCCTCCGGCAAGGGGGCATTGCAGTGCATAGCGACCACTCAGGACTTTTCTCCTATTGGCTTTTGTTGCTAGCAGAGAATTAGCCACCTGCCCACCAAGCTTCAAACAATAGTACCCAAAAAAAAAAAAAACCAGGTATTTTCCCCTATAAAAGCCTCACAAATTTGTATTTTCAATGGGAAAATGCACAAGAACATACATAAGCTTTGCATACAAATGCTTGCCACATACTTCAAGTCTTCATTCTCACCAATTTCGGATGTCTGCTCCGATCTGATCCATCATGGATGTTGTATACTGCCGTACATCGTATACTGGATAAGGCGGTCGTCGACTTTTCTGCCCGAAATCCCTTCACGATTGTGAACCCAGATGTATCAAGAGCCCACCTTTTTATTAACTAATTGAGATTCTGTACGCCACGAAAAGGAATAGGAAATGAGTCAGAGTTCCGTCACACTGCACAATATCCTAGGTAAGCTGTTCGTTGGATCTTGAATTGACCAGTACAATCCCCACATATCCTGTTTGATGCCCCTCCTCTTGATTGCTCGCATTTCATTTTCTCCCTGGCCATCCCAATCTTCGATTTCACTCACTTCTTGTCCCCTGTGCTGCATGTTTTCTCTTTGCTCTGCTACTTTAGCTTATCCGCTTCATCATGTTCGTGCCTCAAAACTTCGATCCTCCGGTCTTGATCCTAATACTCTATATCTAGCCATCTAGGTGAACTACCGAAATATTGAGAAGAGAATGGATCGTCATGTTGTACTAGATTGGTGAGCTCTGGCTTTGCAGCTCTTGGAGCCAGCTCGTTTTTTTACTAATGCTTAAACAAAAGGTACAATAACCTAGACTCTCGAGTCGTTGACCTCGTCGGTGACTTTGTTGGTGACGAGCTTTTCATAATTGAAGGCGATTCCCTTCTACTTGAATGCTTTGCCAACGAGAAACTGGATTTCAACCCGGGCTTCCAGGTCTTGCATGCGACTTATCTTGCAGAAAAGTTGTTACAAAAGCTTCAGCAGCGCAAATGTTTCTTCGAGGTTGTCTTTTTCGCCGAGAATGCCTCATTATGCATTCCGAGAGGAGTCCACAGAGATCTTCACGCGAGGTACCTCCTTGCTCGTGAAGTAATCATACAGCATCTTATTTCTGTTCGCGTCCAGCCATCGAGATTCTTCCAGGCTCTGAGGTTTGATAGCTTCCAGTCCGATGCGTTCAAAGCTCATCTGATAAGTTCGGGAGCCTATTTGTTCATGTGTCATGACGGCGCTTCTTGCGAGCAAAACAAGGATGATGCTGCTAGTGATCTAGACAGCAGCGATGATGATAGTGATTCTGACAGCAGCGACCACGAAGATGATGACCAGAAAGGTTCTTTTGTCGACAAGCGAGGCGAGATCTCAAGATTCAAGCTCCGTGCGATGATCTACTGGTTTGTTGTCCACGGATACAACCTTGCGCTCATGAATAGTCTTGAGTTCCGTGACACAAAAGTAGGTTTTTTAAAACGCGGATGGCTAGACTCTGTACTCACAATAAACGCAGGTTATGGCAATGGTGATTGAAAGCTCCATCAAGACGAATCCCTTGTCAACTGGCCCAGAAACAGACGATCCAAATCAACTGTGGAATTCCCTATCCCAATTGGGGATTGAAGACAGCCAAGACCAAGCGGAGGATGCGGTGGAATACGACTTGAATGAATCGGCAAACCAGGCACAAACAGGCAAGTTGCTTGAACAGGTACTTCTTGAGAAGCCGGAGTTGTCGCAACGCCAATGTCTTGTGGTTGCTACTCTCAGCGCCATGCTGTTGGGCGGCGAGGCAGACAACCTCGAAAACAAGATTGGGGCACAATCTATGCTTTTACACATCGCACTTTTGCAAAACACCCAATTGTCAAATCGGTCAATCCAAACAACTGCGCCCAAAAACCTCACGTTTTTCAATGAATTCGTGAACACCGCGCAGGCGTTGCTAAGCTCAAAGCATTGGGAGAGAGCAATGAGAGACCATAACCTGCCTTGCGATCTATCTGACCTTGTGGATGGAACATTGTTTCTCCAAGTCCGGCAGATAGTTGAGAAACTGGGCATCCAAACAGTAATCTCATCAGTCACACAACCCCCTTTCAACGCTCTTGCGTGTCTGGTCGACCGCATTTGTGGCACAACACTGCAATGTGAAGTGATTGGGGGAGCTGGCGCTGCTTCTAAAGATTACATTCATAAAAGCATCTCCAAGCCTCATCAAGGCTTTGAAAAGGTGCTTCCATTTAACAATGCAGTGTTTGATAAACTTCTGAAGCCTGTTCATCTCGCAATTGACGAATCTGCCGATGCGAAGAGTGATTCCCAAGTTTTCAAAGAGTTCAAAGAAGACAGCCACTGGCATAGCTCCAGGCCCCTTGATCAAAAGAAAGTCATCCTAACACCCCAAGAGGTCGAGCGAAATCACAAACGGAACCAGCGTTTTATGGCCGAGATGAGAGATTATGCTGCAAGTCTCTCAGGATCACTGCCGGAGCCGATTGTCGTTGAATCTTCCAGCAGTTCACGTCAAAAGTCTCAACAAAACCCTCCAGCAAGCAGAGACATTGGAACACACTTGACGGTCTCGAAGCCAGAAAAGAAGTCTCACTCTAAATCCGGCAAACAATCCACCAAAGAGAAGGCCGCAGCTTTCGTTCACCAAAAAGCATTGGAAGTCACCCAAAAACAGAGACAGAAGTGGAAAAATGTGTACAACGATGAATTCGCTCTCATCGATGATCTGGTGACTCGTTTTACAAAGCTCAACGGATACTTGAGCAGTCTGCCCAAAGACAGTCGACAGGTTCTGGAACCTGAAATCCTGACTTGCATGATCGATACATTGCTACGGCTTCTTTTTGTTGAACGCACAAATGTGCAGAGTGAAAAGCACATGTTGGTCGTGACGCGCATTTGGGAGATCGTCACTTGCCTCGTGAAAATTAAGCAAGGCATCTCATCCGACATTATTGCATATGTTTCAACAGTCTGTCAAATTCTTGGTTTGCCGGCGGCTCAGCTTCATGCCGACAGTGAACAGAAATTATCTTTCCCGTCATTCAAGATTCCCAAAGCAGCACCCAGCATGAGTATCGAGATGAGCCCAGTTGAATTCCAGCTTCTGCACGGTGGCCCCTTCATGGAGCGTAGCATAGACTCATTGCCCGACTCCCGGACGCCGGATTTTGCGCCCGATCGTTGGCAGCGTGAAGTATTGGACCAGATCGATGCAAAGAAGAGCGCATTCATTGTGGCCCCGACGAGTGCAGGAAAAACATTTATCTCGTAAGTCGCAATGTGTCCTGACTGGAAATCACGATCATGCTAACCTTCGTCAGCTTCTATGCAATGAGACAGATTTTGAAAGAAGACAACGATGGAATTCTCGTTTATGTTGCCCCCACAAAGGCTCTTGTCAATCAGATCGCAGCTGAGGTGCAGGCCCGATTTTCCAAATCTTTCCCTGCCAAAACCAGTGGGAAATCGGTTTGGGCCATCCACACAAGAGACTACCGCATCAATAACCCCCAGGGATGTCAAATTCTCATCACAGTTCCCCAGATTCTTCAGATCATGCTGCTCAACCCCTCAAACGCCAATGCATGGACTCCCCGCTTGAGACGTATCATCTTCGATGAGATTCATTGTATCGGCCAGGCCGAGGATGGTGTCGTTTGGGAACAACTGCTTCTGATGTCGCCATGCCCGATTATAGCCCTCTCGGCTACCGTCGGAAACCCCCAGGAATTCTACAACTGGCTAGATTTTGCCCAGAGAACCAACGGATTTGACCTTAGGATGATCCAGCATCAGCACCGTTATTCAGATTTACGAAAGTACGTGTATCAGCCTCGTGGTGACTACTCTTTCAAAGGGTTTTCCAATACTCCTAGCTTAGCCCGTTTGGGCCTCGATGGATCAGATGATATGACATTCGTGCATCCTGTCACCAGCCTGCTGGACCGTACCAGATCGATACCCGATGATCTTGACTTTGAACCACGTGACTGCTTCACTTTGTGGAAAGCAATGAAGGACCTTCAAACAGAGCAGTTCCCTGTTGATCCATCTCTGGATCCGTCCGTCTTTTTCTCGAATGTTGTCATCCAAAAAGTGCACGTCATAGCATGGCAGACACAACTGAAAAATTTGTTAGGAGAGTGGATGAAAGACCTAGAATCTCCATTTGAGAAACTCTTGCTCAAACTTGACCATCCAGCTGGGTTTGTAGTTGAAAAGGAAAAGGATCTGTCGAAACAGGTATCTCGGATGAATGGCTTATCTGACACCCTAAGCGGTAACTTGGTCGACACAACCCTCCCTTTGATATCCTCGCTACACGCTCAGAATGCTCTTCCCGCGCTATTCTTCAATTATGACCGCGGTAGATGTGAAGATATATGCCAAGAGCTGTTGACACAGCTACAAAACGCCGAGACCAAATGGAAAGAAGAGAGTCCAGTATGGAAATCCAAGATTGCCAAATGGGAAATTTGGAAGACGTCAAAGCTGTCAGCAAAGAAGAAGCTCGAAAGGGCTACCAAGAAGAAACCAAGTGGAAACGCCGACGAAGAGCCAACTTCTAAGGCAGAGCAAGCCAAAGAATCAGCATCGACTGATTTCGGCTGGCTGGATCTCTTTGACCCGAAGAGGCCGGTGGATGGATTCCACTTGGCTGACTTCAAGAAAGTTCCCGCTTCCGAGTTCCTTGTCTATTCTAAGCAGCTGCAGTGGCGCTCGGTGCCTCAGTGGTTAATAGATGCCTTGGAGCGAGGAATCGGTGTCCACCATGCTGGTATGAATCGCAAGTACCGTCAAGTTTGTGAGATCCTCTTCAGGAAAGGCTTTTTGCGTGTTGTGATTGCAACCGGCACTTTGGCCTTGGGTATCAACATGCCTTGCAAGACAGTCGTTTTTTCGGGTGATTCTATTTTCTTGACAGCCCTGAATTTCCGACAAGCTGCCGGAAGAGCAGGTCGCCGTGGATTTGACGTCCTTGGAAATGTTGTTTTCCAGCAGGTTCCACCATCCAAGGTACAACGCCTGATGAGCTCGAGACTCCCAAGTCTCAGTGGACATTTCCCCATAACAACCAGTTTGGTTTTACGGCTGTTCATCTTGCTACATGGCTCAAAGCAAGCTCCATCTGCTGTGAAATCAATTAACTCGATACTCTCGAGTTCTCGCATCCACCTCGGTGGCCCTGAGATGAAGCAAACGGTACTCCACCATCTCCGAATCTCTATCGAATACCTCCGACGAAACAATCTTCTCGGCGTTACAGGTATGGCTTTAAATTTTGCGGGCTGTATCTCTCATCTGTACTACACGGAGAATTCCAGTTTTGCCTTCCATGCCCTCTTGCATTCGGGATACCTCCAAGATCTCTGTCAAGACATCGAGACTAAGCCTAAAAGGACTGTTCAAACTCTGATGCTGGTTATGGCCCATTTGTTTGGGCGTATTCCCCTGCGGGTGTCCACTTTGGAATGGTTCCAAAACGCAGAAAAGAAGCCTTCCTCGATCGTGGCCCTTCCTCCTTTACCAAGAAAGGCCGTATCCGCCTTGCGTGCTCACAACAAGCAGGTGCTTGACATCTACACTGGCTACGTCTCCAATTTTGTCAAGCAGCATATCAACGAACCGGATTGTTTGCTCCCATTCAGTGGGATCAAGTGCGGCGGGGAAAGTACCTTGGAGAAACTCGGTTTCTCGCAGTTCGACCACATCTCTCCATCAATCGTCTCTCCGTTTTTCGCTCTTTCAGGAAATGGAGACCAATGCAATTCCGTCTTTGAGCTCAGTCAGATGGTTCGCAGTGGCGTTTGGATTGAGGATTCCGTCATTCCATATGTGGCTGTTGATCCCAACGAGAACGCGGTCCCTCTCAATGCGTACCTGTATGACTTCTTCAAGCACGGAAATGTTTCTCAGTTGGAAACTGCAAACCGCATCCGCCGCGGGGATATCTGGTTTGTGCTTAATGACTTCTCATTAACCCTGGCCACTATCAAGACTAGCATTGAGGGCTTCCTCAAGCCCGGAGGCAACATTGGCGCAGACATGCTCGATGTTGCTGGCGGAGGTGACGACTATGAGAATCTTGTGGACGACAAGGCCGTTGATCGGATTGAGGCTGAAAATGCTGGAAAGTTGGATGTGAAGCTAGATAAAAAGCAAGCGATTCCTGCTGCCCCCCTCCCTACCTCTCGCCCCCGGGTGAAGAAGGTTGTGATGGATAGCTGGGAGGATGAGATGGATGACGAAGACGATGAAAGTGAGGATGAAGTCATCAGTGCTGCTAAAGACACGACCACCAGCTCCAAAACTCCTCAAGAACAGCCAGTGGACAACTCTCACAGATCCATGTTCTTGGTAGCCAAGGCCTTCAAAGAACTACACAACGAATTTGATGGCAAGTTCAAGGCTATGTGGGCTTAACAATAGCTCACGCAGGGTGAGATCCTAAAATTCAATGTCAAATTGAGAAAGATTACAAATGAGAGATTTCTGAAGTAAGAGAGATATCTCATAGCATTAAACATCAGACGGGTATAGTGACCCATCCTTATAGATATCAGCCCCAGCAGAGTTATTTGAGTCCTTGCATCAATCATGTATAAAGACCCTTGGACTTCATAGCCACAATCAATTTCGGGCCGGAGACAGGTTGCTTTCCACCCGTGGACAAGGGGTAGAAACTGTAAGCAAGCGTGTGGACCTAGAGGGGAAGGTTAGACTTCTCATATGTTGTCGACTAATCTAGTGTTGACTGTCTGTCACAACTTGTATCATCACACAAGAACTCCTCTGAATTGAACATCCATTGGCTCAGTCTTGTCCCTGATGTAACGCCCACGCGTGGGGTTTTGCTCATGACAGGCTCGTACAAGAGAGAAGAACATGCCCGATGTGTCTTTTGCAGCGACAACGTAGATCAACACACGATCATATACGTAGTATACTTACTGCAGGATATCCTTGACACGCTGCTATTCCATTCTACCATGTGGTTGACTTGTGGACAACGCAGATTTGACCCAGCCCCGAAGCAGCGAGACACGTCACTATGGAAGACTGCTGCAAGATGACCTCCACGAACCTGATCTTGATTTGAATTCGCCCTCAGGGGAATTTTGGGGGGAAATTAAGGAGTCATCAGAGGTCTGCTGTGCCTTATAATCAATCCTTCGCTTCGTTCTGAAGCTGGATGTTTGGGAGGCATTTCATTGCTTTCCAAATGCGGTAATCCATCCTCAAGGCCTCACTCGTTACCAATCACACCAACACCTTTCAGCGTCAATCTCAATTATGTCAATGCCTCGCACTCCTTTCCCTCACATCCATGGCTTTGGCCGGCTCTTCCAGGTTTACCGACACCGGTCAAGACATTGATGGCGACGGACCAACTTTATGAGCACAGTACTAAGGGAGGTAGAATGGCCAGCTCAGGTTGAAGCGCACTTGACATGACCCGGTGCATCAAGAACAACAAGGACAAGCTGACGGTAAAAAGATCAATCCGAAAGACTCGGACAAAAACTCTGGCAAATTTTGGAATCAATCTAGGGGGGAGTTGGGGGGAATTGGGGGGAGTGGAAATAAGTGTTGCCGATGAGCATTAATTGGGTATTTAAGAATTACGAGGCCATGATATTGTTGAACCGCCCGTCCACATTACGCCGATTATTCTCTAAATCGGAGCTCTGTTGATTTGCCGCAGCCATGGCCTTGCGGCCATGTTCGTGCGCCGACTCCCCACAATCACTATCGAGCTCTCGGAAATCGCCTTTATTTCCCCGCAACGTGTGTAAATAGAGGTTAGATCCAGTCGAACGTTGAGAATGATATTTCGATGCCTCACTTCTGACTTTGCTGCGGACCCCTTGGACAAGTGGATTCAGAAATGGCAGACAGCCACAAATGATGGCTACATCGAGCTCGAGGCAAGTCCAGATGGACTCTTTGGCGCTGGAGGCTGTATGAAGTTAGTTGGGCGTCATTGCACCAGTGGAGGATAGGGTACGAACCCGCAAGGTCGGTGAGTTGAAATTCGCGGAATTCAATCAGGCGCATCAGACTGAAGATACAGACACTGCGAGATGTCATTAGAAGGACGCACTCATCTCATGTTATGAAGGGGTCACGCACAGTCCCCCCAGCGAAAACACCAGGGTTAATGCTAATTTCTGCCGATTGTTGATCTGTAACCTCCAAAACACCGGAATTGGTAGACAGAGAATGATCACGTCTTCAACCAATGCGATTGAGCCCATAGCTTGGAAGAATTGAACCTGTCCCGACATACAGTGTCCTTTCAAATCTTTGTTATAGTAATACTGCACCGGTATGCATTGGAAGATATTGGTCAACAGGGCTGCGAGGGCCCATGCGGTGATAAATCCGATGAGGCAGTAGGAAATCACAACGTATGCCCGGATCGTTCCAAAGAGCCGTTTGACAAAGATGACAATGGAGATCTTGACAAATGCCATTGCAGGAGCCCAGAATTTTTGTATCATCCATGATCCCTGCGAAATGTTAGATCCTCCGATTCACAATCCTCCGATTCACAATCCTCCGCTACTACATACGAATTGAATCCGCTGCCGTTCATGTTTGGGGAGCGATGCGATCGGTAGACCAACGCCATTGAATGCGGCTGTTCAATTAGCCTCGTTCGAGTCCTTGATCTAGAAGTAGAGAGCGTACTCACTATCTACCACAAACGCCGTCACTGCGAAGGAGATGATCAGACCAGCTCCCATTAGATAATCTTCCAACAGAAGCCCCACCGCTTTCATCCGCCGGCCATAGAGACGCAACAGGTAGGTCATGGTAGCCAGCCCAGCCCCTACGAAGGGTACAATGATCAGGACGTTTTTCCAATATGTATTGACTTGATGCACCATCTTGATATTTGGAAAACCAAAAGAAGAAACAAAAGAACCAAAAGAACCAAAAGAACCAAAAGAACCAAAAGAACCAAAAGAAGAATCGAATCACCTCCCAAAAAAAAAAAACCGACAGAATCTAAAACAGAAAACATCAAGAACCGAGTAGCTTTGTATAGCGAACAGGGGGATCGGCGTTCCCATGTAACCTTGAAGTCACCACCTCCAGTCCCTTTTGACCCATTGGATCAGCTTCTCCAGGAAGTGGACTGAGTCAAGTAAAATTGGCGGATTGGGTGGAATTGGGGAAATTACCCAATTCTATTCTCGATCATCGAGATTCAAAGTTTGTAAGATGACTCCATTAATCTATGTATTGGCCAATGATATAGATCAGGGACCGATATTCGGGGATCTGTTACCTAACTCAGTCTCTTTCTTAGTTCTACGGAGATTGGTTCATGCGTCCCTTTTCTAGTGCGTCTGAATCGATCTTAGTGTGTCTCAGTCCTTTCGTTTAGGATTTTCCGTCTGGGTTATACTTTTTGGGGGGGGGGGGAGTTTTTTTTCATTTCGTGCTTTGCATCCTTCATTCTGCAATCGCCAAGAATGATATTGGTCAAATTATCCGGTCTGGTCCTATTGGCCTTGGTAAACTTTACCGCGGCAAAAGATTGCACTTTGGATAGCTTCAATGCAACAGTTGGAGGGCGTGCCAAGCTTTTAACCCCTTTTGCCTTGCCCTGCTTCTCCAGCTACAATGGGGAACCGGTGGCTCGCGACGATGCTGCCTGTGCTGCCATTCAGGCGAACTACTCGGATCCCTGGCTACGAACAAATGCCCCTAATGGGTATATGAACAACCAGGATGAGATGTGGGCGTCCGATCCTAGGGATCAGTGTCTCCTCGACAGCGGCAACCCCAGGGATCCCCTAGCGTTCGTGAATACCACTTGTCGTCAGGGCAATCTACCCTCTCACTATCTGGAAGTGCAGAGTAAAAAGGATGTGATCAAAGCTTTCAAGTTCTCCAAATGCTCCGGCAAGAAGCTCGTCATCAAAAACAGTGGCCATGATTACCTCACCCGCAGCAGTGGCCGGGATACGCTAGCCCTTTGGACACGAAACCTTCAATCGATGCACTACAGGGCAGACTTTGCTCCCCACGGCTCCAAACAGGCCGATCGCAGATACAAAGCTATCACCGTCGGCGCCGGAGTTAACTTCGATGAGGCGTACGAATTTGCACAGAGACACAACGTAACTTTAATCGGTGGCTACTCCCCCACCGTCGGCGTATCCGGTGGCTGGATCCAAAACGGCGGCCATTCCATCTTGAGCCCCGTGTACGGTCTCGGCGTTGACCGTGTCCTCGAGTTCAAGGTCGTGACCCCTGACGGGGTCTACCGCACCGCCAACGAATTCAAGAACCCCGACCTCTTCTGGGCCCTTCGTGGTGGCGGTGGTGGAACGTTTGGCGTAGTTCTCAAAAGCACGCATCAAGTCGAACCTGCGATCCGCTTTGTCGCTGCCATCATCAAATTCCCCGCCAACTCCACCAACATGCTTCCTTTCATGGAGCTTGTCGTCAACAATACTCTGAAATGGGGCCAGGAAGGATGGGGTGGCCACATCACCGGTAATACCCTCGTCAATATCTCTCCTTTCCTCTCCGTTGCGGAAGCCGAGGTCTCCCTGGCAAGCGTAATCACCTACGCCAACGCCAACGGCGGCTCCGCCACTGTCGAAGAGTTCACTTCTTGGTACCCCTTTTACGAAAAATACGTCAAGACCAGCTCCGTCGCTGTCGGCGTCACTCGCTTCCCTGGAAGCCGCCTGATTCCCCGCTCCATCTTCGAAACCGTTGAGGGCCGCAAGAACCTCATGGATTACTTTGCAACCATTCAATCACTGGGTCAGACGCCGTATATCCCCGTCGTCGGACCGGTGTTGTACAACTACACCGAGGGATCGACCAGTGCGTCTCCCGCCTGGCGTGAGGCTATCTGGGAGTTGGGATCCGGTGCCTCCTGGCAGTGGAACGCGACCCTTCCCACCCGGAAACAGAAGATCCAGTCCATTCAGAACATGACGGCCATTATTGAGGGCATTACCCCTGGCAGTGGTGCGTACAGCAACGAAGCCAACCCGTTCACGACTGATTGGGTCGAGGCGTGGTGGGGTGATAACTACGAGCGATTGGTGAGCATTAAGAACAAATATGATCCCAATGGTTTGTTGAGTTGCTGGAAGTGTGTGGGCTGGAATGACTCGCAGGTTGCTGAATCGCCCTTTGCTGCGCTTCTTTGATGCCAAAACGGCCCAATTTTTTCCCCTTGAGCGTCCCCCCCCCCTGTACATATCATATATCCTGTATACACCATGTGCACATTCGGCGCGACTATGACTCCATATGCAATTCTCGCCTCAATCAAAGTCTCGGAGGTTTCCTACTCTCTTCTTTCTTACCTTGTTGTGATTCCTTTTCATCTCTTACTATTCCACTCGGCCTGGCCAGGTGAGTAACAGGGCATTTGACGTTCCTCTTCTTCCCAACCAGCAGAAAATTGGATTTTCACTTGTCCTCGCGTGTCAGATTCTTTGATCCCCTCCATGTCGAATGATTTTAGTGGCAGGCTTGTTGACATTCGACCACGGCCATTTCTCCGCGGACCCCACGGCTTTCTACGCCAACCATCTTTTAGTCTATCCTCCAAAGCTACCCTGTTAATTTCAAACTAGGTGGCGTAGATCGGCTCCTCACGGCCACACTAGAGCAAGATCCGTGGAACCGTGCCCCGCCATGGATGCAGGCAAAGCCTCCGCTTCTATTGAATGACGGCAAAATGCTGGAGGAGCTCGTACAGGATCTTCAGACCAAAGTCCTTGCAGCAAAATGACGGACGACAATTCTAAGCTACTCAATGAACAGGCGATGATGATAGTCTAGGAGCATATATCTGTGATGCATCGTCTCCTAGGTACCATTTTCGAGGGTGAAACTCCAAGTGTCCCACATAGAGAGGCTGACCAAATCGCGGCATCTGCGCGGGCCTACAGCCGAGCTGGTCGCAGATAGAAGTGGGTCGAAGCAAGGGTCGGAAACTTTAACTCCACCGGACAATCAACGTTGTGGGAAAGTCTGTACGGAGTATACGAGGTCTGAATTTTAGGAAGACAGAGTACAGGCAGAAGAGGAGATCCTGGAATATGGGTTCATTGGGTGTGGGCATCGGAAGAAGCGCCAAGACTGCTCTCCTCGTCGAAGCGAATGTGTTCCTGTCAGTTAGCCTCTACTTGGACCTACGTGATACATGGATAGTGGCTACTGCGACCACAGAGGATCCCCAAGACGACGAATGATACAGAAGCATCCAATGGATGGGATGGGCAAGGAGAGGCAAGATCATCAAGGACAGCGACGCAAATTCACGGAGTCCTACTGCAAGACCGCAAAGCAACTCTAAAAGCGGCCGATTGTACAGCAGCGGGATAAAAGGAAGCGGGATCGGTAACGACAAAAGAGAGCGGCGGCGACACGTGAAAGAACGAATGATCTGCGTGGTGATATATGATATTCAATGGAGATGAAGGACAAGAATCCCTTCCAAGGGATTCAAGGCCAACACCCCCCCAAGAGAGCAAAGTGAGAGGAGAACATGCTGAGTCAAGCGCTGCGGACATAAAAGAGGAAGGGAGCTTAATCGCAACCCTGGTAGGGTTTAATCTTCCCAAAGCGGAGGAACCTCAAGCGGTGGTTGCTGTATCAACTAGATGATGTACTCCAGTCTTCTATCCCCAGTAGAATGCTCTAGATCACCCCTCCTCCCACCACCCATAAGCACATCCCGCTCTTCCCCCGGATCAACAGGACCAGCCTGTTCAATGGTATAGGTCGAGTCCACGGCCGCCCGATTCATCCTCCGTAGAAGGATCCGCAGTCCCACTGCCAACCCCGCTACAACAACCATGAAAAACGAGCAAGTTGCCATGCCCCGAATGTACCACGGCCCATCAGTCTCGGGATACAGTCTCGTCCCGAGCAAGGGCCCACACTGTCCGATGATATTGAGAATAGCAATGCTAGCGCCCTTGCCTTCCTTTTCGACGCGGTTATCCATTGACCATGTGATGATGAGAGTGATTGCGGAGAAGAACCCGGCCGTGGCCGGGTAGACGCACATGTAGCGAATAAATGTGTGAAGCCATGGTGACAGGTGTGAGTGGAAGTAACCCGTTACTGCGATCGCGAAGTAAGCGAGTGATGAGATAAGGGCGTGGGCTATCAAATATGGGCTTCTGGAGCGGCTGCGGTCTGACGCGTATGCGGTAAGCAGGACCACCGCAAATGCGACGAGATAGGGAGGTGCTGAGAGGGCTTGGGCTTGTAAGGAGGAATATCCCATGCTGTGAGGGATGTAAGTTAGCTGTAGATGAATTGATTCTTGGAAGGGACATACTCTTTGATGATAGTGGGCAAAAAGACAGGCATTGAACTGAAAGCAACGTTACAACTGAAGAACATGAACTGTAGTGGATGGGTTAGAACCTTTGCACAATCTCAAATAGAGATCATACTCACGGCAGCCATATAAGCCTTGGGATCAGATGCAGTCTTCCAAATTTCTCGCCAGTTGAATCGACTTCTGTACGATTGCCGATAGTCGGAGGTGCTCTCCTCAAGGCGCTGCTGAGCTACCACCCTTTGCCGACGATTCAAAAATCGAGCCCGACCAGGGGAGTCCGGAATCAGGAACCAGGCAAATACCGCAACAATTACACTTGGGAACCCCTCCACGAGGAACAGAGTTCGCCACGGCGAGATCGGGCCGTCACTGCTAAACCTGACAATCAAGTAGGCCAAACTGCTAGCAAAAGATGTCGCCAGCGGCGCCGCTGAGATAAACAATCCGTTACGGAAAGCCAGCTCATGTCGGCGATAGAACAAAGACAGGTAAAACGGAACACCCGGGCCAAAAGCCGCCTCGGTGATGCCAAGCAATGCTCGGAGAACGACCAAGCCCCCAAAAGAAGTAGCTAGACACTGGAAAGATGCGACGAGACCCCATCCACATACACATAGAGAGATATAAATATGCGGGGGAACAACGCGGTACATCAGCGTCATCCATTCGAAGAGAATGTAAGTGATGTAAAATGCAGTAAGTAGCCCTTCATATTGCGAAGATGAAAGTTGTAGATCGTCTTTGAGTCCTGCTATCTTTGCATTTCCAATGTCTGAGTAAACTATCAGTACCTGCATGCATTTACAGGGGAGACGTTCTGCTGTGGGAAGTAGCCGAACATACTCGAGCGGTCCAAGAAGGAGAGCAAGTAGAGAAGGGCCAGAAATGGAACCAGCCTTCGATCAAATCTCCTCACCACCTCGCTCTCCTCCTCTAGCGTGTATCTCGGTCCCAACCCGCCGCGCGGCTGTTTACCCTCAAGCTCCCTGTTGGTATCAAAGTTGCCGTCGTTTTCGAAATTGGAGATAGGGTCGCCGCCGTCTTGGTGGTCATCAAAGTTGGTCTGCAGTCGCATTAGGCCTGTGGTTAATTCTATAGGCCCTGACACTGCATTTTCTTCGTCTGAGGCATAGGATACTGGAGTAGATCGTGTGTTTGAGGACGTGCTGGAGCTGGGGGAAGATACATTCCTCCCCGCGGCGGAGGAATGAAGGTCTACCATTTCCCAGGGGAGACACGTTTTGTAGTCGTTCTAGATGCTTGATCAAGAAGGTGTTCTCTCCATGGGGACAAAAATAACTGAATCCCTGAACGAAAGGAAAAAAAAATCACCACTCTATTCGCGAAACCGGATGACCGATGTTGATCCCCTGAGCATATATGTCTTTAGGGGCCCCCGGGGCCTTCTGGGACTGGTTATGTCATGTGTGCACGCGGGTTTCTAATTTGCGCTAAGATGAGAGCGGCTTAGCGCGAATCTTAGTTTCTATTGTAGATGCTGGGCTGCGATTTCATACTTCAACTGTCAACTGATCTACAAGTAGGAGGTTCTTGCTTGTGGAATTGAGTTAGTGAATTGATTTGAGGCTGATATTTTAGTTTTCTGGCACATGCAGGTGTGTGCTTTTCCGAAGTAGGAGTGTGGAAAAGGCTGCCCTTGCAATTAAGAGCGTATCCTTTGACCAGGACCTCAGAACCCGCAGCGAGCTTAGGGACGGTACGAGTCTAGGGTACGACTATCCCATCCACCCTTGTGGCTATGATCCCATGTGACGCTGTCAGGGACATATCGGTCCCGACGATTGTGTCTTCCGCGCTGGTCTCCATAGCATCCGTAGGGTTTGTAGGGGCTGAGGCTTGGGCTGCCCCTAGAGTCGTTTTCCAAGTGCTCAAATTTTCGCTTGCGACCACCGGCTAGTTGGTTTGCATGTGCCTGGCTGACCTGAATGATGTCCTCAATTTCAGGAATCAGATCGTGGTCTTTGTCGGCTGACATCAGGTATCGCAGGAGATTCTCGGCCGTGTCACGGAGAAATCGGACACTATTGGTTCGCTCGCGGTGGCTCTCAGTGACCTCGAGGATGTAGTAATCGGCTTTGGCCTTTTGGTATACCTGGATGAGCTTGTCGAGATGTTGTAGCTTGGATGTGCCAGAGCTTTGTGACGACTTGCTGGTCTGGATATCTTCGGTGATGCCTTCCATGTTATCGGTTGCAATGATTGGAATTTCAGACATAGGGCCTGCAAGGTCATGTTAGAATAATTGAAAATTGATTTTATCAAGACGCAGTGACAGACCATTGTCGAGAATGCGCTGGGCAGCAAAGTGGGCAGCAATGACAGAGTTGTTTTCCCCCAGTGAGTGACAGTTCTTAGTTCCCAGATACTCGGTCAGGTAGAATTCAAGCAGACCGTAGTGTTGCATAGTGTGTCCTTCATCATAGAGACGAAGCAGAACACGGTCGTAGATTGTGACCTGGCCATCGTCGTAGGATTGCGAGCGGTGGCGGATAGACTTGACTTGGCGCCTCAATCCATGGAAGAGGGTTCGAGCATGCTCGCGGTTGCTGACAAGCTCTTTTAGGAGTTCGCTTGGATTCATCACCACACTCCACTTGAGGTACAAGTTGTCCTCTTTACCACGCACCCCATGCGACATGACACGCTTGGTCTCTATGAAAGCCATTCCGTTAGCATGATAGGGTCATGGTAATGAAGTCGAATACGAGTGGGCCTCGGGGCTAGAAGCAACTTACCGCGCTGTTTGGGATGAGCAAATGGCGGCATTGCGAAGCTCCACGCGGTTGAAGAAAGATGGCCGCGTGGTGTTGATTAAAGCGGCTGAAGGAGGGAGAGAGGAAAGAGAAGGAAGAAGTTCTGAGAGCTCACCAAACAAAACAATGGCAACGGAAGCGGGTAGATGGCCACACTGTGAGTGACTCGGCTAATAAGGATCGTTTGTCAACTACGCGAGAGAGGAACATCGTTTTCAATACATGACGTGGAGTCAGGTTTACCAAACGTAGGAGTCCTTCTGGGGGTTTCATAGCTTTAGCATTAAAGTGGAATGGAGAGAATTTCTATGGTGCGGGTGCACTCTGATAACATGTAGGGGACTATTAGTTGCATTTATCGAGTCTCATGGGCATATGTCCTATAGGATTGGAATGAATGCATGGTACACACGATGAAGCATTCATCTTGAACTCAATTTCTCTCCTTCCAGAGCTTTTCGACTTGGTCGACCAGCGCCGAGGGTTGGCTGCCTTCTCCATTCTGGGCGCAGTTTTTCCATTCGTCGCTATCACGGATGCACCAGACATCATCATCAAGACGCACTGTGCAACTTATCTTGACGCCAATTTGTTCGCCGTGCATAGCGCTTTCGCGTAGTAGCGCAATGCCACTGAGTGGTGGTCCGCCGTCATTGCCATCGTTCGGGTCATCATTCTGCTGGCTTGCACATTTGTTTAGAGCGTCAAAGTCAATCCCATGCTCCAATGCACAGTGATGTACGAATTCCCGGTCTGGGATCCGGGAAAATTCATTGATCAGACAGTTTGCAAATCCTAGCGACCGGATAATCGGGGTCCGGGGGTACTGAGATGGAAGAGACGCTTCGTCCGCAGTGGGAGGGAAAGGAAGGTTGGCCGCACAGAGCATGAGCATGTCACCGATGCATTCACCTGGGCCATGCTTGCATTCTATGTCTTCGGAATCTTTAGACACGCTATGGTTCAAGTATCAGTCAAATGTTTAGGATAGAACCTGGTGCGGAATACCATCAGTTCTTCTCCACAGATATTTCAATGCTCACCTAGCAATAAATGATAGTTTGAAGTCCACCTTACCGCTGATTCTTTCCATGGCTGGTAGAACCAGTTTTTGCAAGCAGTCCTGGGCATCTGGGCATTTGCTCATGATGTGGGCCTCCAGCGGTATCTTTGTTTGCTCAGGTGTCTGGTGTGTATCAGAAGCAACGCGTCCCAGCTGTAAGTAGTTTTCATACTCTTCTTGGACCTCAGCTCTATAGCTCTCCATTTGTAGAGCTATGCCGGTACATCGTGGGGAAGAAGGCCTTAGAAGCAAAATGTAACCGATACAGAACAACGCGATGACACCAATGCGACATAAGTAGGTAGGTGTGCCGGGACGCACACGACGATGAGGCTTGTTCAGGTCAAGGGTATCCCCATATCCCTCCTTGGAGTGGATCGGTAGTTTCTCCATGCTGAGATAAAACCAGAAGGTGACGTTATTTTGATAAGATCATGAGTTCGGGCGGAGCTCTGGAGGGGTGCCAAGGCCATTATGTAAGATCCACCCTTGGCCCTTTGTGGATAGTCAAGGAAGGTGCTTCGTACACATATCTAGGTGGGATTTAGCTGGGCTCCGACTTCGGAGGCGATTTGGATGGGGCATCGACTACTCCGTAGCTTAAATTTCAAATAGGCCCAAGTCTAGAATCACTGGCCTTGGTTGTGGTCTCTGGAAAGACCGTACAGATAAGTTACAATGGCTTGGGATCGCGTGCTTTCAAGGATCGTACATGAAACCTTCGTTAATCAATTCCATAGTAGATTTTTGCCACACACGAGAAGCTTCTGACCATTTGCTGATGGGCAAATGAACAACTATGGGCAACACCCAGCTAAGGTATTTTGAACTGGCGGCAGTCATCTCTGACAGCTTGTGGCGGGTGACAGCGAATGATCGAGACCGAGAGTATGCAAACAGGTTCGTTCCTGTTAGGTCAAAAGATAGATGCGCCTGCATCTGAATACGGGCATGTCCGGTCCGATCACCACGCGAGTGCCACGAGTAGTGTGTATGTGTGTCGAACTTTGGCGAGTCTCGTATTGAAGGAATAGCAGCATTGGAACACCATCCACTGCACAGAGTACTTTGACGCATTATCCCAAGCCAACGGCCATACTCAGCCACTTCCTTCGAAGCAGTTCTCCCATTCTCCCAAAAGGGCCCACAAGAGGCATTGACATTGGCACGGATATAAAGTAGCCTCGGGGTTATTCTGATGAAAGAGAGCCCTAGACTGCGGCAAACTGTACTATTGACCTGGGTTGTGTTTTG